ACACCCGAAGAGCATGGAAGTTTGCTTCAGAATTTGGGGACAGGAATCCTGTCAATGTGTGATCAGGCCCAGGGTCTTATCAGGATTTGGTCATCTAATCACCTTATTGTGACTTGTAAATGATCGGGTTTCTTCAAAGAATTGTCAGGCCTGGGAGTTAGGCCTGGGGATAGCTCTGACATTCTGCCTTTACTGGTTCTGCTTTCTCCAATATATGACGGTCCATGGGACATTCAGGGCTCTTCTCCATCACCACAGCCCTAAGGCATCCGTTCTTCTTCTGTCATTCATTCTCTAGGTCTCAGATGCTTTGTAAGTGATTTTTAAAAAAAAAACCACCAAAAACTATGGCCCGCACCAGGCACATTTGAGTCTTTATTTCTTTTTTTGTACAAGGGATAACATGGACATAGTCCCCCAGAAACACAAATTGTACAGTCGAGTTTCCCACAGTTGGGGAAATCGCAGAGGTCAGCATATCCAGAGCGGAATGGAAGAGCCTCATCCCAGGAAAACCACCTTTGTGATGACGGCATTTCCTCTGCCAGGTGAGTGTAGTCTTTAAACTGACATCATTGCTTCTCAGTAAGTCAGAGAAGACCCTGACAGAGACTTTCCCGACACATTACATCTCAAGGTTTAGGGACTGACAATGGGATTTAAAAACCAACTGGATCTTAATGAGAATCCAATAGTGTTGAAACTTGATAAACAGCGGGCTCTGATGTGAGTTTTCCCAGACTTGGTTTTTTTGGGATTTTTTTCATACTCGTTTTAAGAGAGATGATAAAGCATTTGGGAAACAAGATGTTTGCAGAGCTTTATATTTAATTAGTGCTATTTTAACAATTATATTAACAGTTTCTATTGTACTTATATAATTATGCTAACTATTTACTAAACATTTTAATATTTCACTCAAATATTTCAAAATCATAAAATATTGACATTTTAATATTTCAATATTTTCTGATTTATGAGGTTAATAAGGTAAATAAAAAGCAGTAGAAAATTCTATAAAGTAAATAAACATGACATACCACATGCAATCAAAAGAATAAATTATGAGAAGAAAGCACAGATTTTTAGTATATTGTATGGAAAGAAATTTTTATTTGAAGACATAAGTAGAAAAAAGTAATTTTAAAGACACTTAAATGTACTGTTTTCTGACACTTTACCAAATGGTATTTGTAAAGGTCTGTGGAAGGATAAACAAACCAATTCATTAAACTTGACCCTCTAATAAATGATTTTGTGACTTAGAAATATTAGATACTGAAAAATACTGGCTAAATAAAAATTCCAAGGAGCCCTATGAAGCTAGAACAGTTTTGAATTGTTGAAGTGCTATTGTTCATCAGGGGCAGAGGCTTTAATACCACGAACAGTTAACACTTACATAAAGAGGAATTCTCTTTATTGAGGGAGCTCTCATGGCCTATGCGTAAGGAGTTGTGCTGCCAATCCAAAGGCAAGTATTTGGCTTCACCAGATGTGCTAAAGGAAGAAAGATGGGGAATATCTTTCAATGTGATTTAGAGACTCTAAAAACCTATTACAGAGTCAACTATGAGTTGGTTCCAACTGGGCACAACGACATGTATCGCCCAATTAATCAATGTCAGGGCACTAACTAGAAAAGTTCAAGGTGGTTTCCTATATCAAACCATCCCACGCACTAAGCACTGAGTAAAATACCAATACCCTGATGATCAACAAACTCTGACTGCACTGCAATCCCAAAGGCAGGCAGTTCAAATCCACCAGCTGCTCTGTGGGACACGGATGGGCACTTGCCTCCTTTGCCGTGTTCTGACTCTGAAAACCTTCTGGAAGGTCAGCTGTGGGTCGGTTCTGACTGCACAGCACTCAACAACAGACTCTGGAACTGTTAGAATTCTTTCATTAACAATTTGCATGACATTACTAAGGAATTCATTTGACTTAGATCCACAATCAACACCCATGGAAGCGACAGTCAAGAAATCAAACAACCTTCTAAGACTCAAATCCCTATGCACATCCAAAAACTTCTCCAGTAGGGTAAAAAGGGAAGCCACTGACTGGGAAAAAGTATTCGGTAATAACATATCAGATAAGGGACTTATATCCAGAATTTATGAAATACTTGAGCACCACAACAAGATAAAGGTAAAGAATCCAATAGAAAAATGGGCACAGGATATGAACAGGCACTTCATCAAAGACGACATTCAGATGGCTAACAAACACATGAAGAAATGCTCAAAATCCCTAGCCCTAAGAGAGATGCAAATTAAAACAACTATGAGATATCATTTCACCCCAGTCAAAATAGCAAAATTTAACAGAACAGCAAGCAACAAATGCTGGCGAGGTTGTGGAGAAACTGGAACCCTGATTCACTGTTGGTGGGAGTGTAAAATGGTGCAACCCCTGTGGAAAGCAGTATGGCGCTTTCTCAAAAAGTTGCAAATAGAGATACCATTTGATCCAGCAATTCCACTACTGGGAATATACCCTGAAGAGACCATAGCTGACATCCAAGCAGATATATGCACACCCATGTTTATTGCAGCTTTGTTCACAATAGCAAGGAGCTGGAAACAACCTAAGTGCCCATCAACAAACGAATGGCTAGAGAAGCTGTGGTATATTTGCACAATGGAATACTATGCTGCATTAAAAAACAAGGAACTCATGCAATATTATTCAAAATGGGTGACTCTGGAGAACATTATGCTGAGTGAAATATCCCAGTCACAAAAGGACAAATATTACATGATGCCACTGTTGTAGAATGGGACTGTCCTTGGGGTTGGGGAGAGACAGAGTAAGATGGGTTCAATAATGTATACTTCACTGAAACAGAGGAGAGAGAGAACCGTTTAAAAGAGAGATATAACTGGGTATTTCTGTCATCACAGGAGACTAGAGTGAGGGCTACATGGTGGAGGGGACCTGGGGGAGGGTTTGTAAAACAATGAAAGAATCTTTTCTTTTACTTTTCCATAATTTTTGGACTCATGTACTTATAACATGTTAGTCAAATTTGTGTCTTCTAGATTGCAACACCCCCATGATACATCTTCAAGGATATGAACATGTACGGCCAAGCACAATCAATAAGAGTGCATCTAAATTCCAAAATCAATCTCCATAATAGTCTATGTGTTTCCTACTGCCAAAGGGGCCCTTTAGAGTAGTGAGAGAAGATCTTCACCCTGAAACCCACAGCGTCCCTTTTCAGCAGGAAGTAGCTAAGAGAATACGCCATCCCCTTTTCCTTATGACTCAGGGTGAAGTCTCTCTCAGGGAGGAGTGATAGGGAATGGCAAAGGACACACTGACAAAGAAGATTAATCAGAACTGGCTTTGACAAGCACTGTGGCATTTGGACAAGAACAAACTGGGAGGAGGGTAGAGAGAATAGTGCCACAATGAATGAGTGGAAGCCCAAAATCTCTGTAAATGTTTATGAAAATTAATAAAATATAATTATAGAAAGAAAAAAAAAGAAATCAAACAACGTAATGCTCTAGAAAAATCTGTTGTAAAGTACTTTTTTAATGAAGTACTGTAGAGAGAGAAAGGAAAGGGGGAAAAAAGCCAGGATCACTTGGAGCCATTGTTAAAAATCAGTGTCTCACGCTTTGTCAGTAAGAAGTTCAGCTTTTAGCAAAGTTGATGTCCATTGAGGGTCTCTGGGAACATCATCAGTGAGACACAGATGGACAGATAGAGTAGCAGCAACAAGGGGCTGAGTCACAGCTGTGATTGTGAGGATGACACAGGACCGGGCAGGGTTTTGTCCTGCTGTAGATAACAGTTGTCAAGAGTTGGAGCTGTGTGGTGAGAACTCTTACACATCGTTGGTGGGATTGTAAAATGGTACAACCATTCTGGAAGGCAGTTTGGCGCTTCCTCAAAAAACTGAACATAGAAATTCCATGTGACTCAGCTATTCCAGTACTTGGAATATACCCCAAGAGAATGAGAACTGAGGCACAGACACTTGTACACCAATGTTCGCAGCAAAATTATTTACCATCGCAAGAACATGGAAACAGTTCAGGTGTCCAACCACAATGGGATGGATTGAGAAATTATGGTACATACATGTTGGAATACTATGCAGCACACAGGAGCAATGATTTTGTACATTCCTACCTAACTTGGGAGGGATTGAAGAGCATTATGCTAAGTGAACTAACTCAGTCCCATAAGGACAAATATGGTATAAGATCATTATAAGGAGCCAAGGGAGGGAGGAGGGGAGCAGAGGGAAGAGGATGGGGGAATGGGGTTTAATCACAGGGTTGCACAATTTGATGGGTGGATGGAGGGAGGGGGTAAGTAAAGGAAACGGGAAATATCCAGTGTGAAAAACAATATATATGAACTTTATAAGTAAACCAGTATAAATAAAAATTTTATTTTTACTAAAAAGAGTCAGAGCTGATTTGATGGTATCTATCAACAAGCAGTTCAGTATCTGCTCCAAGACCACATCAAATTTCTATTCAAAATTCCTTTTCACATAAGCAAGTCCAAGTGGCCTCAGGCAAAGAAAATCTACCCACCAAAACCAAGCCCACTACATTCCAGTCAATTCCAACCCATGACTACCCTCTCTCAAGCTCCAAGGCTGTGGATCTTTACATGAGAAGACTGCCTCATCTTTGTCTCAGGGAGTGGCTGATGGATTCGAACCATCAACCTTTCCGTTAGCAGCCCAGGGCTGCTTAATGACAATCTAATAGATTTTTTTTTCTTCTTTTCCTTGTTCTCCACTATTCAATTTCCACTTGGTCTAAGTCACATGCCACCTGCCACAGCACTCCCTCCTTAGGGGAAGCCAAGGAGGAGCCAACAGGAAGTCAAGCAAACCAAGCAATCAGATTGTGTAAAACTTGCTCAAATCTTCAGTTTCCTTAACTCGCTTAAGAAAGGCAGAAGTTCACTCCTAGCCTGCAGCCCAACCTCCTCTCACTTCATCTCTGACTTCATTAGAGGGAATGTGGTGTCACTTGGTCAAACTGGTCTCTTGGGGCATTTTTTCCTTTGGGGACATCCTGTAAGAGCCACTTACCATTTGGTGCCTTGAATCTCCAACTCAAAACATGATGTGGAAAAAGAGTTGCCTCTTGTTCCTTTTCTCTCTCTCAATTCAGAAAGCAGTCGTGGAAGATGGGGCTGTGAAGAAGACAGCAGAGGGTAAGTCGGATTTATCTCCTTCTTCCTAAAAGCAGATGCTGAGGTGGCCGAGAGATACCTCATTAAGGCGTTTCTCTCTACTGCAGATAAACAACCAAAGAGTAAAATCTTTTCAATGACTAATTATTTAAAACTGAGTCATTCTAGGGAGGGATTAGGGGCACATTTCCCAAAATTCAGAGACAAAATATCTAGAGTGATTTTGCAATCAAAGTCTTATTTTCTTGGTGCTGCTGCTGTTTGCTTTTTGAAAATCAGAAATCCAACATGCAAATGTTGCAACATATTCCAAGTATCATTAGAAGTATGCCAGGAGTTTATCATCAGAGAGATCCTCCCCCTGGTTCTGCCATCCACTTGATCTCAGCTCGGGCCATCCGTGCAATCACTTTAAGCTTATTTTTGTATGATAAGCGAGGATAATAAAAGCATCCACTTGGGAGGGTGGTTTTGAGGACTGAATGAGATAACTTACGTTCCTCAGCACTGTAGCTGGTGTATGTATGGTGAGCCATCCACATGTGTTAGCCAAAGCTGCTGTTGTTAACGACGAAAACGTCCTTCCTCCTAACCCCACCTCCAATCCTCTCCCTCCCACTTCCGCGGGCAACCACCGCGAACAGTCATTGCCTGAGCCCTATCCTAGTAAACAAACTCTTCTGTGACTTTTACGCTAGGCAAACAACCACACAGTTGTATCATAGGCATCTTTCTCCATAGTAAATGTGTTTATTATTTTCAACAACTGCCTGGAATTTCATTAATATATTTACTGGTCTAGTAATTGACTTTTCATTTTTGTTTGTAATATAGATAATATTATAATAGGTATCCTTACATATCAAACTTTGTGGACCCAGGAGAATGTGTCAGTCCTAAAATCCTAGAAGTAAAATTGCTCATCAGAGAGAATGTACCTTTGTATTGTTACGGATGTTGCTAACTGGCTTTTCCAACCGGCTAAGTATCTCTGTGCTCATTAATAGTGGGTGTCCCTTCACACCCTCATTGAAAGCAGAGCTCACCATTTTTAAAATTCGTGTCAGTCTGATAAGTGAAAAAGCACAGCTTCCCTGAAAGTGGAGTTCATAATTTCTAAAATTTGTGTCAATCTGATAAGTGAAAAAGTACATTTCTGTGATGTTTTCATCTTGTAATTAACACATTCTTAGTCAAGTGCAACAACTTTTGAAAGCTTGGGCCTGGAAGTAGCAATTCCACCTAAAGGACATTTGAGGATGGCTATCTAGTCGTAAAATCAAGGCTATGTCATTAGTTGAAGGAGGGCTAACTTAAGAGAAGTTTTTAGTAGATGCCACTGAGTTGACTCCAGTAATACAGACCTACTTGTTATACAACAGAACACTACTTGTTCCTGAATTATCCTCCCAATCACTGTGATGTTATGGCGTGTGATCAAAAACATTCAGTCTACAGAAAGCCTTTCAGAGCACACAACTGGCCTTCTTCACCAAATAAATCGTAAGGGAGAAGAGGGAGGGAGGGAACTTAAGAATATTTATAATGAAAAAAGTTTTAAGAAACCACCACCAATTGTAATAATTGAATATTGATCGAATCAACAAAAGTAAATTAAAAAACACAACTGGAAAAATTTGAGCACTAGATATTGAAGACATTGTTGGAGTACTGTGAAGTATTTTTTAGTTGTGATAACGGTGGTGCTATGTTTACAAATGAGTCCTTATCATTTAGAGATTCAGTGTCTGTGTCTTCTTACCAAAGAACACGTGTAATGGAACAGAGCCGGCTTTACTGACTTGTCTCAGCAAGGGCAAACACATCCATGGGAAGCCAAGCAATGTCCCTGCAGCAAGGTGTTAGAAGGACTTTCGCCCGGTAGGTGGTGCAGAGGCTCCCTGAAAGGTCAGCAGTTTACACCCACCAGCTGCTCCATTGAAAAAGGTGGGCAGTTTCTCGTCCATTAAGATCTGTGGCCTCCGCCTCAGGACTCACTGGAGGGTCAGCCTGGGACTGAAGACGTTCAGCAGCAGTGTGTTCAGCTTCTCTGTTCGGGTTTTGGTTGTTCGACAGCTACAGCCTCACACAGGGAAGCTCTCCAGCAATGGAGCAACTCAACCCCCTTGTCCCACAAAAACGTGTCTGGCAGACAACCGAGCCGTCAAGGGGTATTAATGAGGACTTCGTGTGTTATTTGCTTTCCACAATGCTCTGAACCCCTACTGTCCTTAGAATCAAGTGTGGTCACAAAGGGTCAAAATGTATCTCTCACGTGCTCCACCATGAAAACAAACAGGAACATCAGGAACTATTCTTTGTTTCTGAATAAGGAAGTCTTGAAAACCAAGACAAAAAGAATGGGTTTGTGGTTTTCAACTAAAGTATCTCAGAAACTCATGACTTGGGACCGGATATATGTAAAATTGAATTTGACAAGGGCTCGTTACACACACAGACACATACAAAGTCAAATACAGTCATGCACTCAGTTTCACCTTTGCAGGTAAGTAAAGCCCTTGCTCTCTGGAGTCCCTGCAGTGGTGGGATCTTTTCATTGCCCCCTCGGGCCCTCCACGTCCCTTAGGAGCACCCACTCAAGGGCCTGAGAAGTGTGTCCCCAAGAGACTGATTCCTAATAACTCAATTGTTGCTGTCTCTCTCAAAGTTATTTATTCCTTTGTTTCTATTTTTCAAATGTACTAGTTCAGATAATGACTTACTGATTTGTCTTAGACAAAATTTTACTCCATGTGTAAGCAAAAATATCTTTTTCTCTGAAGAGTTACGAAGCCTCGGAAGTAGGTTGGACCCTGTGTGAAAGCCCTGGACCCTTCCCAACCATCTTCTCTTCACAAATGAACAGACTAAGCACCTATAAGTCACTACATCTCCTGCCCAACCCAACTACAACTGATTACTTCTGTGATTTTCTGTCCTTTCCTTTCTCACTCACTCATTTCCGCTGAGTCAGAGCTAAGAGATGACCCCCCCACCGTGCTCTCCCACTGTGAACTGCACAAAGGGAGACTGCCCATTTTTATCCCAAAGACTAAGTGCTGGATTTGAACTGCCTGCCTTCGGGTTGACAGTGCAACTCCTTACCCATGAGACTACCAGAATCAGATGATTAAACAACTTCAGCTCTGATGTTGTTGTTAGGTGCCGTCTAGCCAAGTAGAATCATAAAGATCCAACCTTGCCTTATCCTGCACCACCCTGTTTTTATAAGTTTTCAGACACGATTATGTTCCAAGAAACCAAATTCTGCCATTTAGTTGGTTCTGACTCATAAAGACCCTCCATTGGGTTGTGAGGTTATAATCTGTATGAGAGGAAATGGCCCATCATTCTTTTGGGGAGGAGCTGGTGGATTTGAATTGCCAAACCTTTGATTGGCAGTCTGATATTAACATTATATTACCAGGACCCCTCCTTGAAGGTAAGTGATGGATTTGTGTCTTTTGTCTCAATTCATCAAATGGGCCTTTTCTGGATGGTGGTCTGACTGGTTCACATTCAGCAGCAGAACATCAAGGCCCCACTGCGGGTCAGAGGTCAGCTCCCAGCAGGCCAGGGCCCAGCTGTCAGCGCTAATTTTCTCTCTCTCAGTACTGACATGCACGGATGCAAGAAAATGCACATACTGGTCAACCCAGCTATGCAGGCGCTGGAGCCTCACACAGGGAAGACCCCCAACAATGAATGGCACACCCCAACCACCTTGACCCATAAAATGGGCCTGGAAGACCACTGGGTCGTCACCAAGGAATATTAACGAGGACTTCTTCATCTTTTGTTGTTTGTTTTCCAGAATGTCCTTCACTCAGTCTGTCCACTCCAACCAGTGTAGTTACAAAGGGTCAAAAGGTATCTCTGATTTGCTCCTTCAAGAAAAAACCTTGGACAGGACAGACATACTCTTTGTTTCTGGGTAAGAAACTCTTGGAAACTAAAGAATCCATGATTTTTAATCTAAGCATTTCAGGAGCCCAAGATCTAGGACCTTACAAATGTAAAGTCAGCGAACCCAACTGCTCACGGTACAGTCAGGAGTTCACCTTCAGGTTCGCAGGTGAGTAGAACACTTGGTATTTGAACTTTTGGTATAAGATCTTTTTCACTAGGGCTCTCTCTGTATGTCTTGGGAACACTCACTCCCTTCTGTTCTCTTTGTAAAAATGGGTTTTGACTGGTTTTCATTAAACTGTTCATGTATTTTGTTCACAAGTTCATTGTATACCTTTTGTTTTAAAAGATTAAGTAAAATTGATTAACATAATTAGTCACAACATCTGATCAGTCCCTGATTACAGAGTGTCTTTCCCTTCACCAAACTCAAATAGTGACTATCTTTTCTCCTCTTTCTAACCCTTCTCATTCCTGACAACCAACCAAAAAGGATTCTATCTTTGTGTCAACTTTTTCTTAGTGTTTTATAGTAGTGATCTTAGAACATCATTGACTTTTTGCAACTCATTTCTATCCCTTGGGAAACTAGTGGCATAGTTGATGGCATGTGGTGCAGCTAATCCATTGGCTGTGGGTCTCCTCTATTCAAATCCACCAGGAGCCTCTGAGGGAGAAAGATGGACAATCTCCTCCCATTGTGTTTCATGGCCTCAGAAACCCAATGGAGGATGGCTGTGAGTTGAAAGCATTTGGTTATGTCATGCAGCATTATTTCTCCTTTCTTATTCCATGTTATAGAATGTTTCAGGAAAGCATTATCATTTTTTGGTGTTGCATAGTATTCCATTGTGTTAGTGTACCACAATTTCTGTAGTCATTTATGTTTCATCTCTTTGTAAGTAGTGTGGCGATAAACACAGGTGTGCATATATCAGTTTGTGTCACAATCTTAATTCCTTTCGGATATACACACCTAACCATGTTGTTGTTGTTGTTATGTGCCATCGAGTCGCCTGCGACTCATAGCAACCCTATGTACAACAGCCCTAAACTCCGCTCTGTCCTGTGCCAATCGCACTGTCTCTGACACTCCCAACCCAATTATCCCA